GCACGAATGTTAGCCTAAGGCCAGTCTTCCTCAGCAAAAAAAAAAAAGAGGAGGATTGGCAGATTTTAGCACAGGGCTGATCTTCCTCACAAAAAAATAAAAAATAAAATAAAATGGCACTTCTGTTGCTTACCAGTATTTCACCTCAGCAAGATACTTAACATCTGTACCCCAGATTCTTCTTACGTGTAAATGGCAATAAAAATATTTTCTATTGCACAGGGCCGCTGTTTGGGTTAAATTGGATTATATATGAATGTGCATTGCACAGTGCCTAGCATATAGAAAACAGCAGATTAACATTATTATTAACATAGTAATCATTATTTTTATTCCATTAAAATGCAATTGTTTTGAAGTACAGTACTAGGTGCTGAGGATACTGGTCACGTATTATGAACAACTCACCACTGTTACCACCAATAACTCACAAGTGTATGTTACAATAGGCATTTAACCAATAAATTACAATATATTGTGAAAGTTTCTGTTACATTTTTGAAAGCAACTGATTGGAGCTCTGCCTTTTTTAGGAATTCTCTATGACCCATAAGGAAGAGTATAGGGAAACCTCTCAGGACCTACAAATTAAAGGACTTTTCAGAGTTAATGACACCACAATTTCATTTTGACATAAAAAGGGCATGAGAAACATTGCTGCTCTTTGATTAAAATCAATTAAAGCTGACATCTGGCTCAAAATGCTTCTTCTGCTTTTCTTTATTGTCAAGGACCTAAAAGAACATTAGACCTAGTGTAAGTCAGAAACAAAGAATTCAAAATTCTATAAAATACAAATTTTATGTATTTTTCTTTTTTTGAATAGATGGTCAAAATGGAAAAATAAAAAGCCTATTTATTGACTTGCTAGCATGTAAATGATGACATCAGAATGGCATCAACCAAACCTCTTTCGGTCAGACGACTGGACTGGATCCTGGATGGTACTGCTTGATGGGATGCCATTCTCTGGACTACTCTCAACAACATACAAATCAGGAGTATTTAGTTGTCTATTTTCCTCATCTTCTTAAATCACTGAATGTGGGAAATAGTCATCAATCCAAACTTCTGGGACCCTCACAGATTCTGTGCTATAAGGCATCTGAACTGACTGACCCACAAACGCATCAGCAATCTTGGCCTGCAAACCCAGCAGTAGTGACGGTGGTAGCGGCAGCAATAGCAGGCCATGTTGGTGGGACGTTTGAGATGCTCCAGATAGAGGGGCTAGCAGGAGGAGAAGAAGCATTCGTGAGCCTGAAATGCCATCACCACTGTAGAGAAAGTTTATCTTTAGTTCTAAAGAGGATCATCATCATTGCTATTGTGATATTTTATTTATTAATGGTTTTAATGAGAGTGTTCTTGAGATGTAGTACTATTTGTTCACCTATGAATACTGTCTATGACATCATTTTTGCGAACAGTGTTCAACTGGAAAAGCTAAGGGCATATCCCATTCCATTCTAAAAGTGACATAAGGAATCACTTTGCCTCTTCCTTAGCCCCAGGTATCCATATCTCTCACTGGCTGTATTAGTAACTTCTGCTGAAGTAAGCTTTAGTGACAGGAAGGAATGCAGCATCAGTGACTTATTGATGCTATATGTTTGTCCAAGAGCATGTTTCCCAAAGCACAGTAGGTAAAGAGTATGCAGTTAGTTAGGAGAGTTTATGTTATGCTGTGGTAACAAATAAACCAAGTAGCTTTAAAATAAAGTATATTTAGTTCCTGCTCATTTAAAGTCTGCTGTGGGTTTGGGTAACTTTCCAGGGCAACTATCCCCAGTGAGGTGATTTAATAATCCAAGATGCTTCAATTTCGTACTTTCGCCATTTCAGTGTAAGGCCCCCTCCTTTGCTACAGAAAGGACTTGAGAGAGACAGAATGGCTTAGGAGTATTTCACTGCCTCAGCCCAGATGTGACACACATCACTTCTGCTCACATTTATTTGGTCAGAAATTGTCAAATGGCTTCACCTAACTGCCAAGGGGCTGGAAAGCATAGTCCTCCATATATACCTCCCATCTTCCTGGGTAGGAAGCAAAGAAAGAATGGATATTTGGATGTTCTTAAGGGCATTAGTAAGTACTGTGTCCCATAGTATGTGAGATAATTTTGAATGGTACAGAGATAAACTTTTACAATTTTTGTTTGTTTTCACGTGTATTTAAAAAATATAAGTAGCACATCAAGCCTATGAGGTAATGGTTTCATTTTATATAAATTTAAGTTAAATTTTAATTATAGATACTATGCTATTATGATAGTGAAACTGGCAAACATGTCTAATGTTTTAATAACACTGACCTAAAGAAACCACTGTAAAACTCAAATTTTAGTACATACAACTTCAGGCAAACTGGGAATATGAGGTGGGGCATAGGAATTTGCTCTTTTAACAAGTACACCACGGGATTCAGCCTCAAGTAGTCTGGGACAACGTACTGGGAAGGATTGTTTCAGAGGCCATTTGCTCTTCTGCTGTTAAAACGGGAACCAGTGATGGAACCCACCATGGGGGAGCCGGGAACTCCTGATGAGTACTCAAATCTCCTTTTATTCTCATGACCATGTTGTGACACCAGTAACAAAGGGCTAAGATTTTGGAATGAGACGTTTGACCTGGCAGGCAATACCTTCAGAATTGCCATTTCCCTTTTTACCGGTTTTCCATGTTGTCTAATGTTCAACCTGGCAGTCTAGCTCCTCTCAAATCACACATAATAATAATGACAGATATTGTTGCTAGTCCCAAAGTGCTTCAATTCACTAAAGCTCTTCATTCACTGTTGGCGGTAAGTCAGTTTTGTTATTTTTTTTTTAATTTTTCCATTTCCGTGTTTCCCAAGGCTACTTAGAAATTTCTCCCAAGTAGGATGACTTTGATCTCTTGATTAATCTATAATATTCTTGGTTTGTATGTGATTATTACTAAAAGCCTCTTTTACTCTCGAAAAATATCTTTTTTGGATGATAAATTATGTGGTGACCCAGCTCCTAAGGGTTCTTTTTTTAATTTTATGATGTGAATGACCGATTTGGTCCCAAAGACTCTTTATTCCATTGCTAGTGGCTAAAGCCACATGGGGGTAGCTGAGGCAGTGGCTAGTTCTGGATGTTTAGTATTTTTAATAGTCTTTTTTTTTTTTTTTTGGCATCATCTGTTTGTTTTCTACAGGCTAGAGAAAAAAGTAGAAGTTAGAAGGACACAGGGAGGAGTTAAAGGGAATAAGAAATGACATTGATGACTGAAGGATAAACCAAAGCGCATTTTGAGGAACCCAAAGGAACTTATTATTCTGGCAAAATACCCTAACCTAATCTCAAGGATGACATGTAAAACTGAAGATGAATCTTGGTATGTAGCTCGCATGTATGTAACCGGCATTCATAACATTTATTTTCCCATAGACATTTAATGGTGTGAATTTTGTATCCTAATGAATTGGTTGTAATGTCTGACATTGCCTCAGTTCCACAGTAGAGTTAGAAGAGGCACTGCACAATCTTAAGTAGAATTTCAGTTGCATGAGAATAGTCATATATTTGTAATAAAAGTTATATGCACCACATTTATTTTTCCTGGAATCCTTCCATTAGATAACACATATAAAAGCTGCTATTTACTTTCTAGTTACTTAAATTCTGGAAGAAAGTAAGAGAGGATTCCAAAAGTACAGTATATCACATTTAAGCAACCTTTAGGTCTGTAGCTCATCAGACTGACTTTTAAAATATGCAAGCACCTACAGAGACCACCCCAGGTTAAAAGTCTGTAAATACTTCATGTTGTTTTACTGTTAAATAATGTTTAGAGTTTGTTATCTTTTGTAGACCTTGGAAATCTAATTATTAATAATATCCAGTGACATTTACATTTTGCTAAATATACTCTACTTGTTATAGAACATATCCACGCTTAGGAAAATGGGTAGAGAACGCCTGACTACATTTGCTTGTATATAATGCAAAATATCAGAGTAACCTACGTTATCTTTTTGTTATAATTACATTACTTGAAAAACCTAATTCTCAAGAAGTGTCCTTAATCATTACCATTTAAAATACAGAAGAAGAAAAAGTTATCATAGTCTAAATCATTTGTTTACCATTTAACTCTCAACTAGCAAATCAAATATCTATTCAAGTTTATTGGTATCTTAAAATAATACCATTCATTACCATGCCAACAGCTACAGAGTGTTTGGTTTAGTTTTTGAGATTGATTGAAAGTAGATTGTAAAGTTGACCGATTGTGTTAAGCTTATTTACACAAACAGTGTCTTGGAAAATAAACTCTGAAAGTGCTTAGCAGTTGAATCCTAAGGTATCTCACCTCCTGAGTTTTCTAATACCTGCTTTACTGGGATCTGTCAGATAGAGAATCTCAACTTTACCATAGTTACCTTATTTAGGAAAAAATTACCTCAAAATTTAATTATTCTTAAATTTAAGGTGAAATTATGACTTGCTTTAAAAAAAGCATTTACTTTTAATTAATTTGAAGAATTTGCCTAAGAAAATAATTTGTTGGGTCGAACACATCTATGAAACAATCACAGATGACATTTTTTTAGGCTCTTGAAGCACCTTTCCTTACAAGAATTGAAAATAACATTTCTAAGATGTAATCAATATAAAAAGCCATAAATGTGGTAAAAAAGCAATTTCAGTAGAAACTCTGAAAAAAATCTATTTGGGTACTGGATAGTGACAAATAGATTATGGAAAATAAATTTTTATTTATTCAAGAGTTAATCTTGGTGAGTGAGCATTTAAAAGCCCTTCCTGACACTGTATCCTCTTCTGTTAAATATTCTTAGATAAGCAGCCTATTATGTATCATTCGCCCTCTTGATTCCCCCTTTCTCATCAAAACGCGGACTTCTCTCCTGCTGCTGAGTGACGCGGGGCCAGTTATACAGGATGGGAGCAGGGCACGTGGACCAGAAACACTTCCTAGAAACAGCAAGTACGCTGCTCAACCCTGCCTGAACTTTCCCTGTAAACACAGCTCGCTGACAGAACGGCATCCCTGCTGGGTGGGTCCTGCAACTCCTGGAGGGAATGGCACTTCTCGTTTTTAATTAGCAAGGTGAAAGGTGAATTAAAACGAGCTGTTTGGCAAGTCAGTGCAAGAGGCTGACTTCTGAGAGGCTTCAAGGAGCCAGAAGAGAAGAGCTCCACGGGGGAAGCGAGTGCTCGGGGGTTTTTTCTGAATGAACCGCTTGCAGAAGTGACTAAAAAAAATACAGTTTCTTCCTGAATCTACCGGCATAGTTACCGAAGAGAGCTCTAGACAGGACATGGCTCTGAAGATTCATTCCTTGGAATGTCCTCTTGCTCCCGGCTTATAAACAACTGTCTTGCGGAAGGAAAGGTTTTACATATCCAAATACAGCCTGACAAATGGCACTTTGGAACTGTGCTTTCTGATGACAACGCGTTCGATTTCTGACAAAGCCTCTCTCAAGCTGCCCCTGGAGGGGAGTCCTAAGTAAAACTCAAACCCGCCTTCAAGTGAGGATCGCAGGGCTTGCACAGTGAGTGAGCACGGCAGCATGGCATCAGCTGCGCACGTTATCACCTGGCTCCTGTGGGGTTACTTACTGGAGCTTTGGACAGGAGGGCACACAGCTGATACCACTCACCCCCGGTTACGCCTGTCACATAAAGGTAGGTCACCTTTTCAGATCCTTTTGTCGAAAAAAAAAAGAGAGAAAAAAATTAAAGTCATTTAACATAGATCTTTGATCTTCATAGACTCTTAAAATGCACCTGAAAAAAATTATTGTGGAACTGACTTAAGATTCTAAGTATCTTTAATTAATGTCATACTAACCACATCTGAAAATAGTGCAAAATCACATGCCAACTTAGAGATGTTATTTTTGTCTTGTAAATATTAGGTTTTATTAATGAGAAGTTTGCTCACTAGCAGACTCAACAGAAGAAGGTGGGAAGCAGGTTGTAAATAGCCTTGAGGGGCTGAATCTACCAAGTTAGCAGTGGGTATTTAAATACCAATTTGTGCATTATGGGAGACAAGGACGTTGGGGAAGGGCTTTAGAAATAGAGGTGCAATTGGTTTTTTGTTTTGTGTTGTCCATAATGGGGATGAGAGGAGGAGAAAAGAAAATTCCTGAGAAGCAAAATGATTCCTTACCCATGAGAACAAAGTCATCACCATGTAATTAAAAGGACTAACAGCTGATATAAATGAGCTTTCTAGTTGAACTGATTATTAGAAATTTTTTTGGGTGTGTGGCAAAAAAATACTCAGAGTTTATTAGCAATCCTTGTAAACTGATTTATGTTGATTAAAGTATTAGATACTATTCACTAGCATCTATTCTTTCTAATGTAAATTCATATTGCTTAACTGAAGATCTATTAGAGAGTGCTTAAATATTTTATTCTGCAACTATGTCTTGTAAAGCAGCATTTAGTCATAAATAAATGACCAAAAGGTTGCTTTTACATCAGGACAGTAGAAGTCAGTCATGAATAGGTTTGGTGATTCTTCCTGTAAACAAACAAACAAACAAACAACAAACAAAACCCACCCTCTGAGATAGTGACTTTGCTGACTTAAAAGTAATTTGGAATAAATTTTCAGGAGAGAAGTATTTATTATCATTAACCATTGAGACAGATAACAGATGCAATAATGAGAATTATGTGAGAACCATTTTTCAATTGTGTAAGCTTTTAAATTGTCTCCCACTATAGAAAGAACAGAAGCTTATATTTTAAAAACATAGATGTAATCTTTACCAGAAGAAGAAACAAAAAGAGAGGCCTCAATTTTATATGACACGATTGATCTATTTGTCTTTTTATTGGACAATCATTAGTTGACTTTGACTATAGAAATTTCTCATTTTTAGAATAGCTAAAACCTGTGGATATTTTCTTAGTTTAAATAGATTTCCTATAACACTCCCCAGTAGGTAATGTAAATTTAAGAAACACGTTGACACTAAATTTGTAAAGTATTTAAAATATAGTACCTAGCATTAGCACAAATCATTTGATTTGAGAAGATGTATCCTGGTATGTATCAAAATGCATATTTCTAAAAAATTATGATCAAATATATCAAAAAGTAAAAATTTGCTGTGATGGAATATGGACAAATAAGGATATCGGGAAAAAAACATAATAAATGGATTGTTTATCTTATGTAGACAAGCAGATAAGCTGCCAGTTTTGGCAAGCTACCATTCTACTATGCCTGGCGTTAACCTTTTATACCTCATTATTAAGGGTACTTGCTTTTCAATAGCTCAATATCAGTACTTTTCAAAGATATTTCATTTTAATATTTCATTATAGAGCTTATAATTTGGTCAGAGCGTACCAAAACTTTCTAATGCAACTAAATGATATGCACGATATTGTTATCAGGCTCATCTTCACTACATCTCTCTTAGTCAAAAGAATGACTGTACCTGATTTTATGTTGTGTTAAATGCTGTGAGAGTGGAGCTGCTGGTATCTGTATGTACACTAGACTGAAAACTCCCACGAGATTTCCCTTTGCTTTTCTTAACCTTCTGATTTAATGGCACTAGCTGAGTATGTGCAATATTGTGCTTTTATACGAAGACAGTCTGGAGTTACCTGAAAATAGAATGTTCTCACTTGTGCAATTTAGTTAGCAAAGTCAGCTAAAAGATCACACCGGAAATGCAACCTGAAGCAGCAAACTACTGCACCACAGGTGCCTCAGTGAAAGGAAAAGCCCAGGACTGTCAGAACAAAATATTAAGTCCCATCAATACAATATGAACAGTCCATTTACCTCTCTATACCTGGAATTCAATGAACATTTTAGAGGAATCCAAAAACTAGGAGTAGGATATTGCAGAGTATAATCTTTTGCTATTTTAAATGATATCAGTAATGGTATATTTTCAGTAGTGGGTGAATTAGGTGATTAATATTATAAATGAGTACATGGATCTTCAAAGGAAGAGGCACTAGATATAAGTAACACAGCACCTCTGCACTACTGCCCGACCCCAGCAGAGAAATCCAGTAGGCTCCCTGGAGGTGGCCTTCTGGATTAATCCAGGGATTCATTTCATACCAGTGGTCTATGCCATGTAGGAGAAGGACGGACATTTTTCTTATATCCTCCATTATCAAGATGGCACTTGAGACCATAAGCCTAGTGTCTCTTCCAGAAGAGGAGAAGAAAGTTTGGGTGTCATATACAAAACTTGAGTTAAATTACATAAAAATACGTTCAGAAAAATAAATGCCCAAGAATTGCCCTTTTCCTCTCTCCTCCATCTTTCTCTATCTCTGGAAGTGGCATGTTCTTAAACAGAGCTTGAGAGGAGGAGACCATTAGGACTAAAGGGGATAAAAGGCAGAGAGGCAGGGAGACAAGGTAGAAAGTTGGTATCAGATATGGAGCATCTTCTATCTTATTTCCCATTGCCCCCTATCTACAGTGGGATAATATTGAATTCCTCCCTCTTCTTATTGAATATCGGTCTACTCCAATAGTAAGCAAATATGCCAACTTAGGGCAAGCCTAGTGGATAAAAAGATGAGATATTTACTCTCGTTGAGGCAGTGCATATATCTTTTAATGTATTTTGCAAGTATAAGAAAAATGGGGTTAACAAATAAAAATATAGCAAAGATTAAAATGCCAGGACACTGTCCTGCTCTGTAATAATTTTCATTCAAGATTTGAGTTGAGATTAATTATACAAGGCAAATATTTAGAAGTTTATGAATAGTTATGAACTATAGCCAACTTTATAGCCAATACCCTAAAAAGGGTAATATTGATGTGATTCATACAAAATTATAATATTCTACCCCAAGGATTTCCTCATGGCAGAAATCCTCATGGCAGAAATCAAGGAAAGAGAATGAAGCAGGAGGAGTCTTGGTGGATTCAGACACTTCCCTCTGTTGATATCTGTTCTCTTCTTATCTTTCACCATCCTGCATTGATGAGGTTACAGGGAAGGCAAAAATAACCTTCTTGATAATGGAGCTCAAAGAAGAAAACAACAAATGAGCAAAGCCCCATGTCAAAGAAGAAATCCCAATGCACATAGAAAGCCCTGGAAATTCGATCAAAGGAGTTTGGCATATGGAGTAGGTGTGCAAAGTCCCAAGGAACAACACAATTGCAGAAGCCAAGGAGAACGGCTGCGTTAAGCAGAGGATGTTCTCCCAGGATGTTTAGTGAAGAGAGAGATAGCGAAATAAAGGCATAGATATGGCAGAAGATCATTTCTAAAATATGTTGACATTATAAATGTAGATTTGAGCATTGAATATATATCCATACATATAGAAAGTGGGATAGAGAGTGTTAATTAGTCTATCTGCATCTGAATATTATAACCAATTAAATATAGATTTGTCATAGTTCAGAGAGCTCAGAATTTGAAGTCAGAGGTCTCTACTCCAGCTCTAGTCCTTCCACTTATACTAATGGTAATTGTCGATGCCTCAGTTTCCTTAATTTGAAAATAGGAATAGTAATGGTGCTTTCCGTGTTTATCTTACTGGGTTTTTGGGAGGATCAAATGGAACAACAATATCTGTGAAAGCACTTTGTAACCTAAAAATTATGTTACTAATGTTTCCTGAAGACTGATATAAATTGAGAAGATTGGAAGGAAACATGTCCCAAAGACAATAACCCTTGGGAATAGCATGAGTTTTGCTATGAGTAAGTGCTGGGATAATGCTAATATAGAAAACACAAGAAGTTGGTCTTAATTAGCATAAAATGTATGGTTTATCGCAATAGATTGCATTCACTGCAGATCCCATTAGAAATGTATACATAGGGGCCGGCCCGGTGGCGCAAGTGGTTAAGTGCGTGCTCTGCTGTGGCGGCCCGGGGTGCGCCGGTTCGGATCCCGGGCGTGGACCCACGCGCCGCTTGTCAAGCTATGCTGTGGTGGCATCCCATATAAAGTAGAGGAAGATGGGCATTGATGTTAGCCCAGGGCCAGTCTTCCTCAGCAAAAAGAGGAGGATTGGCAGATGTTAGCTCAGGGCCGATCTTCCTCAAAAAAAAAAAAGAAAGAAATGTATATATTTGTATATAACGTTTGACCTCTAGTTATGGTAATTTAGAAGATGATTACGTCAACTGTGCATTTTCCAAAATTCATGGCCAATATTTTTGTTATAAAAGTGTACATATATCCATTTATTACACATATTTACACCACACGTTTTAGAATGTTTTTCATTTATATGAAAAGAAATTGAGATAGAATTCTAGAAGAGCACAATGATAAATAAAAGTTTGAAATGATCATCCTGGAGGCTGTGGTATTTATTTTATATCCAGAGCAAATAGAAAAGAGGCATTGACTGAGCCAGTTTTTCCTGACCCGGCTCGTAGCTTTGGTTCCTCAGGCAGGAACTTTCAGGTATTATCAATAGTGACGTTAGTCACACATCGCTGAGTGGTTAATAAATAAAAACTGGTCATATGGCATGATTCATAAAGAAAGTAGTTAAATAGGACCCAGGAGTAAACACAACCCTTCATGCTCAGCTCTTCATCAGGGAGAGTCAGTGAGAATTAAGTGGTAGATTTATTAAGAAACAGTTTATATTAAAAAAAAAATTGGGTAGTATGAAAGGATTAACAATATGTTTTGTTGAGTTTTGTTTACGCA